CCTTGGTGCCATTCATGTAATGGTGACTTTTTCAGGCATGCAGAATATAAGCATTATAGGACACAGAGGCTTTCACCCAGACTTCAGAAGAGGGTCTAGGAGTCCAGGAAATAAATATGTGACACAGTTATAGTCCGTACCAGAAGCCCAAGAGAGTGCAGTTGTAAGGGTGGAGCCAAAGGTGCCATGGAGACTAGAGTTAGAGATGCTGGGAGCGTAGAACACCCGCTAACCAAAGCCACAGGTGTTAGCGGAGCCAACCCAAGGGAGAAGCCTGTGGGGAGCAGCTGTGAAGGCCGCGGGAGCAGAGCCGCCCAGACCCTCTGGAGTTAGCATCTCACACAACCTGCCCCAGGCGCTGGCCTTCATGTCCACTCTGACGGATTCTGGTCTTGCTTTGGTCCAATTCCTCTCTATCCTCCAACTCCTTCTTGTGAAATCTGAATGTTTACCTTATGCCATTGTATGTTACAAGCACTTACCTTTTTTGATTTTTTTTTTTAACAGGGACTCAGCTAAGTGTGCTTTTACATGTCAGAAGAGACATTGCAACCGAACTTTTTGGCAGTAGTGGAACTGTTAAGAAGTTAGCTGCTCTTAGAGAAGGACTAAAGTTATTTTGCATTAGAAGGTGGATATAATCTTTTGAGGAACAGGGGTGAGATGTTATGGTTTAAATCTAAAATGGTACCCTAACGTCTCTTGTTCAGAGATCAAGTAGAATGAATTGTGTGTGTGGGGGGGGGGGTTATACTCATCAGTGGCTAAATCCACTAAAGAATTCATAGCTGAGTGTGCTTCTTGGGTTTGAGGTCTTGCTAGAATATGTGAGTCACTGGGGCATGACCAGCAAAGATGTGTTCTCATCTTGGGCTCTTCCCTTGGCTCTCTGCTTCCATGATGCCCTGACATGAGCAGCTTTTCTCTACCAAGCCCTTCCTCCATTCCCTTCCTGCACTGGAGCCAACCATGCACTGCACCCACTGAAACTATGAAGCCAAATCAGCCCTTTAGGTTATGAGTATTGGTTATCTAATCCCAGAGATGGGGAAGCTGTACAACACAGAAATGTTCATTACACTGATTGTGACAGCTATGATGCATATAGATGTCAAATTACACACATTAAATTTATGTGCATATTATGAGACAAAATATGTCAATTATTCCTCAGTAAAATTGTAAAACATGCTTTAGGAGAAGGTAAATCAAAATGAGATTATTATTTCTATTAGCTAAAATCTGGGATTCAAGAGATTAAATTTTCCCAGTCTTTCAGCTAATAAATGTTGGATTCAGCTTCCAAGTTCAGTCTATTTTATTCAAAAACTTGTGTCATTTCCAGTATACCTTGCAAGATATGTGTTGTCTACTATCATAGTACCCTGCAATGAACCATCTCATAAGTAAACATTTACCCTTGATCATTAATCTGCAGATTAGCTGGGTGTCTACTGGACTAAGTGGTTTCAGCAGGGCTTGATTCCTAGGTACAGATTATCTCAGGGTGTGTCCCATAAAACTCCCAATGACCTGGGACCAGTAAGCAACCTAGAGCACATGTTTGTCTTGACAGTGTTGGAAGTGAAAGTGACAGTGGCAGTGCATAATTCCATCGATTGAAGCAAGTTACATGAATGATCCCAAACTCCGGAGGGAGGGACTCTGCTAGGAAGAACTAGGCAGTGACATGGTAACAGCAATAGATTCAAGAAACAATGAAATGGAAAAAATAATGCAACTGACTGATAAAGGCTGTGATTTTTGATACACTGTGCTAACTCGAGAAGTCAGAAGCTTAACGAAATAACTCAGAAGTTCTGCACCCTAGGTAATAGAGTGCGAGTCCTTATGATTCTAGGATCCTGTTCATTGTACCAACTTGAGAAGTTTAGAAGTTTAACTGAGTGATAGAGGAGGGAGCCGGAGTCCTCACTTGGTGAACAGTCTGAGCCTGTGCAAGAGGAGGGCAGTGTGAGTGCTACACCAACCCACGGGTGAGTAGCCTGCATAAAATATAAGGGAGGAAAGAGGCCTGTTCCCCCTGTTTTGTTTTTCTTGCTTTTTCTGTATTCCACTTTTCATAAACAGTTGCCCCTCAGTCACGTCACCCTGCCTCAGAGCCAGCTGATTATGGACTGAAATCTCCACAAACTGTGAGCGAAATAAGCTTTCCTTCCCTCATTTGCATATCTTGTCCCAGTAATGAAAGAAAAGTAAGTAAGACAAAGGGGAGGGAACATGAATAACATTTTAGGATCATTTAGATTATTAAAACTGACAAAGCTAAAGGAAAATTGCTTGTGTGAGGCAAGTTCAAGGGGATGAGAAGTTGCAGACATAAAGATAAAGGACAGAAAGCAATGCAAGCAGCTGCCCAGACCGCAAAAGAAGAATCAGCAGTCCTTTTCCCCACAAGTACCCAAGCCCCATCTTTAGTTTTAAGAGGCTTAATTTTATCAACCAAGACTTCCTACAATTTTCTGGCTACAGTGCAGGACCTCCTGCTGCATTTAGACGTCTTCACTAAGGTTTTACTCATGAGTAGAGTGATTTTTGAATGGGGCTCGACTTTTGCAGAGGCAGAATTTTGGAAGCCACAGCTATTGAAGGTTGTCCCCCAGGCTGTGGTGCCAGTGGGAGATGGTGGACTGTTTAGGAGATTGGGGCTTAGTTGGAGGAAGTTAGGTTATTTGGACCCCAGCCCTTTTTATCTTTGTTTACCTGCTGCCATCAGGTGACGGGGCCTCCTTTTCCACACACTGAGGTCTTGATGTGCTCTGCGACAAGGCCAAGTGATCCCAGACTGAAATCTCCAAACTCATGAGCCAAACAGACCTTTTCTTCTTTTTAAGTTGATTTATCCCCGGTATTTGTCACAGTAATGGAAGACTGACTAATGCCTCATTTTCACGCTTTGCCAAAGTTGCTTCCTCAATTACTCTTACATTTCAAAGGCCTTCCCTTCCCTTTCCAACATATTTCCTTGCTTTTTTCTCAAGATGTCAGCATTGAGTTTTGTGACTTTTCAATCGAGTGAATTCATTCAGTATACCTCACCACTTGGGACACCTCAGAAACTTGGGCTCTGTGGATCAAGTCTCAGATATCTCCATAGCCACAGTCCCTCAGGGGAGCCCCCACTCACACCGCCCTGCGCCCAGTGCTCCTCCCCTCCGAGCAGGCTGCCCCTCTGTCCCTGAGTTCTGAGTCTTAGTGCATCCTGTTTCCTGCCTTCCCTCAGCCAGGCTGAGCTCCTTCACTTCAAGCTTCGTATCCCTTTTCGGAGGTCTTCACTCCAGCCTTGTCCAGAGAGAACAGCTGGCTGGACACAGGGTCAGTGTAAGGTGTGGGACTCCCTTGTTGATCAGAAATCTTAAGCCACCTATGTCTTAGATAAATTCCTTTCGGGCAGAAATTGTTCCCTGGTCTAAGAAGCTGAGGTCACATTCATGGGGGTGAAAGTATCAGGATCCATCCACAGGGTGAGCGCTCAAATCCTGCACATGCATTGGCCTTGGGTTGAGTTGGAGACAAGTGGCAGTCATGGTGAGATACGGAGCGGGGATGGGAACAGACGCTAAGAGGCTAAGTTTACAAATGAGGGTTCCCCAGAGGTACTGGCTGGGGGAACAAGGCCAGGGTTCTTTGTTTTTTTTTTTTTTTTTTTATCGGTACCAGGGATCGAACTCACGACCGCCTGCTTACAAGGCAGGTGCTTATGCCGCTGAGCTAAATCCCCAGCCCCTAGTGCCAGGGTTCTTAAAGCTTGTTAGAGAACCCTAGTGTGTACTTGGATAAGCATTTGGTCTTTCTCTGAGTCTCTCAGGATGAAACAAATCTAGCAAAGTCTGCTGTGTGGGCTCACTTGGAACAACCACAGACCAAGGCGGGCTGCACAGGTCACCGTGTGCAAACCTGGCCGAGCTAATGAGGGCCCTGTGGGGGCTTCTGAGGCCTCACACAGCCTAAAGCGGGCTAACAGCTCCTCCTGCTCCTGGAAGTGAACATCGGAGACCTCTTTGGCAGCTGCTTTTGTCTTCCCATGTGAAAATCTCTAGCCAGAGGAGCCGGCCCGCCTTTTGGGTTGTGCGGAGGTGCGAGTTACAGTTGTAGCCAAGCCAGGGTGGCATTCGGGGTTAGAACAAGCCCTGGGGAACCACCCTAGCTTCTGAGAGCAGGAGATTCCACAGACCCTGAAATGAAATGCAGTTTAACAATTGGCATGAATGATAACTTTGCACTTTAGAAAATGCTTTTGGGGCTGGGGGTTTAGCTCAGCGGCATAAGCACCTGCCTTGCAAGCAGGCGGTCGTGAGTTCGATCCCCGGTACCAATAAAAATGAAAAAGACAAAAAAAAAAATGCTTTTAAATAGCTAATTGTAGATCTTTCAGGCCTCATGGTGGCCATGTACTGAGATAAACATGCTCTGTATCATCTGATTTAATTTTTGCAGTGCTTCCTTAAACGGGGTGTGTGATTATCTTCTTTTTATAGATAAAGAAATTAAAGCTTCCAAAGCTAATATTGACATGCTCAGAGCCACATAGTTAGAGCCAAATCTCTGAAGTGTGTGTGTGTGTGTGTGTGTGTGTGTGTGTGTGTCTGTTCTGTGTTACTGGGAATTAAACCCAGGGCTGCCTTTGCCTTGAGATATATCCCCCACTATTCCCATTCTTTTTTTTTTTTTTTTTAGCTTTTTATTTTGAGACAAGGTCTTGGCTAAGTTTCTGTCTTCCAGGCTGGATTTGAACTTATGATCCTCTTTCTCAGCCTCCCAGAGGCTGGGATCACAGGGGTGCACCACACCCCTTTGGGCATCTCCACTCCAGCCTTGACTTAGTAATGTCGTCTAACCCCCATGTCCAGCCCTAGCCCCTCAGACTGCTTTCTGTTCTGCCATGAGAGTGGGCCAGAGATAAAGATCAGCTGCACGGCACTTGCCTGGCAAACTCAAGGTCCTGAGGTTGAGTCCCAGTACAAAAAAAATCATGAGGGTTGTCTTCATTAGCTTTATTTCAAAAGGAGGAACTTCAGCAAAATTAAGAGACTCCAGGTAACATTACTTAGTAGAAAGTAGAGTAGGACAAAAATCCAGAGCTTCTAATACCAAAGGAGACACACCATTGTATAGCAGAAAGACAGTGTCCAAAATCAGAGACTCGCATTCAAACATCTGCTCCTGAGTGTCTGTACTGTATGACTCTGGCCAGTTTCCTAAGACCTCTGGACTGTAACATGAGGTTTTTACACCAGCACTTGAGAATTGTAAAGATTCAATGTGGATGTGACTGCCACCACCTTGGACCAGGTGGAAGACACAGCACCTTCAGGAACGTTGTGCAAGATGAAAGTTGCTAGTGCGGTGGGTCTTCAGCCTCAGCCCCTTACTTCTCATAAGTAAGAACAGAGACATGATCACATTTCTAAACTCATTTTGAGCACTTTGGTCTCTGTTCTAAAACTTAATGGCTATCTGTACCCTAATCACTACGCGTGCATGCGCCAAAAAGGTTTTGTGGTAACTGTGATACTTTGCCCTTCAGATGCTGGGCTACGGGTTTAGCTCAGTTGGCCAAAGCAGTGCCCAGATGAGGAATATTGTCTCCGGTCTTGGCGAATGGGCCCGTGCTATTTCCAGCCACCTCTAGCTAGTGTCTCCTGGATGAAAATAGAGTGGACAGGCCTGAAGATGCGCGCCCACTTCAGCAGGGAGGAAAGAGCAAGGACTTCACCCCGACAAATAGAGAAACTCTGCAAAAGACACAGCTACAAAGGTCCCACGGCACTGTGAAAGTTGGTCGCTCTGTTTTGGAAGATATTTTGGCAGTGTATGTGAAAGTTAAAAGCACGCACGTGTCCTCCGAGCCAGTAATTCCACTTTCAGTCCCTAAAGACAGACTCACAGACGTGTGGTGAGGTGATTTGTTTTTTTGTACCAGGGACTGAACCCATGATCTTGTGCTGGCCAGGCAGACGCTTCCGCCACTGAGCTAAATCCCTGGCGGTAAAGTGGTTTTGCATTGATAGGCAATGCTGCTTGTGGAAGCACACGCCTTTCTTTAGGATGTAGATGCATACTTTGAAACCTTATCTACCATTTTCTAGAAGCAGATTTATTTTTCTTGGGCTCACATACATATATACACACATACATAAGACATACAGCTGTCTGAAAAAAGACAGTTTTCGAATACCATGTAAAAACTGACATTGTATATATTCCTATAAAGCACATATATCCCCCAACACAAAACCTCAGATATGAAGTGTTTCCAAAACTTCAGATATGAAAACACCATAAAAAAACAGGGAGGTAAAGTATGATTCCCACTGGGGAACAGTGATTGTCTCTGGCATGATAACTGCTCTTGGGAAGGAACAGTTACTATTTACTATACCTAAATATTTTACAGTGGGAATTAATGTATTTACTGCTTGGTAAATAAAATTAAAATTTTTTAAGAAAGGGATACCAGCACCATGTTTTTCTTGCTGACTCTACAGATTCCGTAAGTGTGTGACCATATTTTTCAGTACATATATGGGGGGGATGGAAATTTGATTCAGCAAGAAACCAAGGCCTATTTTTTTCAAGGTTTTTTTTGGTTTTTTTTACAAGCTTTTCTCTTAGAGGCAAGTACATCATTAAGATTCGATTGTCAGGAAAAAGCAATCATTTTCATGTTTCTGGCCATACTGGAGCCCGCGCCTTTGGCTCTGCCGAGTTTGTGGGGTACGGCCTTGGCTTTGCTAACACAATGCCTTGACACAAAAGGAAAAAGACGAGTCTGGCCATATGGTCAAAAGCAAAGGACGTCTGATGTTTGGGAATTCCAAGGAAAAATCCATCTGCTAATCATCTGAATGGTCCAAACCTGATTAATGGGTTGCATAATTACAAAGCCGACTTCAGCCACTTAACATGCATTCTCTTTGCTCCAACACGGACTATTTTCATATGTAAATAAAACAGGAGTCAAGAGCCCCTCAGCCACGCACGTCTCTTCCTCTCCCTGCTATCACTGCCTCTCTCCTGCAGGTGTATTTTCAAACCTGTGGCTCCCTTCTGTCCAGACCTTGTCCTGGAGACGCCTTTAGCTAGCATACAGGTCGCATTGATCCCTTTCACAATTATTTGCATATTAATATTGAATTTGAGTATATAGCAAATTTGTTATATGTAGTCTATCAAAAAGTGATTTCCCATGTTTTATTCACGACGATAGTCAAGTAAGGATTTTAATAAAAGGCATGAGTTAAGTTTACATGGATCCGGCACGCATACGCAAGTTGCCTTTGAATGAGTTATATTTAGGCGGGACGTTCATGGCTCTGCAGAAGTCCCAGTGTGGTTGGAGCCGTGTCCTTGCGCCCGTCTTCCCCATACTCTGGTATGGACCACCTTCCCCTCCTCTGTGTGCCCAGGGCTGTGCAGGGAAGGTCCTTCGGAAGACTGTGTGTGGGCTGAGCCACATTTTCTTGTTGGCAGAATCAAACACTCAGCCCCTGGAGAGCTTGGTCACTGACCCACTGGCTCTAGATGGACTCTGCCTGCCAAAACAGACACCCCGGGGGGGGGGGCGCTGAAACCCCTCCAGGTCAAGGCTGCATCCCAGGCCAGGTAAATCAGGATCTCTGGAATGGCCACTCAGGCTTCTCTTTGTCTACAGTTCCCTGGGTGCTTTCAACAAGCAGACCACAGGTTGCTGGCCACAGATCAGGGTCACAGAGTCGCCACCAGCTCCCTAAGTGGCTGACAGCTACTCAGTCTCAAAGAGAATGACACTGCACATGGACTCAGAGACCACAGGGCCTTTGCTCTAGACAGGTTCCCTGCCAGAAGGCTTACTCTGTCCTCTTCCCATGGCTTCCTGGTCTCCCCCACCACCATACTTCCCGCCGCGCTCTGTTCCCAGCCTATGACGGTGCAGCCTCCTCTCCTGCAGTACTGTCCTAGCGAAAGAGCCTAGAAAGACCCCAAGCATGCAGTGGGTGCTCAATAAATACCTGCAATTTAAATAAAAACAAGTCGGAAAAGATCTGATAGTTCATTTACTGAATCCAACCTTCTCACTGAACAGACGAGAAAACCCTAGTTCAGAGAGGAAAAGGAATGGATCTAAGGTCACAGAGCACAAACAGGGAGTGGATGACCTGGGACTGAACGCCCCACCTCCTACCCCGACCCTCACCCCTGCACTCTCTCTCTTCGCCCCCACACACGGGTTTCCTGTGCAGATGACTGCACACAAACAGGTCCATACAGCAAACCTCCAAGGCTGGCTGTTGCTTCTGCTTGGGCTTTCCAAATATTCACACTCTGCTTTTCAGGGACACTCAGCTCTAGACCTTGACGACTCTGCCTGGAAATCTGAGACCCCCGCTGCCCTGCCGCCCTGCACCAGCTCTCAGAGTCTGCACACCGTGTAGCAGGACTGGTTTTCACTGGCTTTTTTTTTCCCTCCCAGTGATTTTTGTGTTTCGTTTTGTTTTGTTTTCCCTAATCTGGCCTGAAATAAAGAAGCCGTGAGATGTAGGCTTTCAATTTTGTAAATGAGCCTGCCGCTCATGGCACTTTTCAGCAGATAAGGCCCGTGTGGCATTTGCAGAAATGCTTTGCTATCTCTCCAGCAATCCGGCTCCTCTGCGGGCCCCCTTGGTAACAGCTTAGCAAATCCGCAAAAGGAATGCGGCTATAGTTTGTGTGTGGACTGCGGAGTTGTTATGGCTTCCAAATTGCCCAGTGAGTCATTAATCATAGGCCAAGATAGGCCATCGCGCGGCCGGCGGTGAAAGCACCCAGCATAATAGCAGCGAAATCGTGTTTAATATGCAGCTCTCGCCGGCGCAGATAGGGCAGGGGGAGCGGGCGGGACAAAATCATCCCCTTTAGGAAAGAAAACTTCTAGTTATCTTTGATTTGCATTCAGTCTTCCCTCAATAGTCCTTAAGCCTGTTATTTAATTCATTTTGGTGCCAGGGTTCATCACAAAGCAAAACCCTAGGCGAGACCTATGCAGTCTGTGACCTCCAAACCCCTGTCTTTTCTCGTCAGTTCTATGTCGTTTGTGCAGTTGAACTGCAGCAATTTGAAATGCTGACCTCTTCCATAGACAACCTTATTCTCCTTCCGTGAAAGAAAAGCCCAGGGCCGACAAACCACTCAGGCGGGAGGTGCAAGGGAAGACAAAAGTGGTCGACTCATAAATCAATTTCCACAGCCCACCCAAAGCCGCACACACACACTGCACTTGTGCAAATTTTTAAAAATTTGCGAATAGGTTCCTAAAGAAGAGAACAACAACAAAAAATTTTTTTTTTAAAGTTATGAATTGGAAGCAGAAAAAATAGAAGTGAACCTCTGCTCCTAGAGGACTGGAATCACAGGAAGGGACCCGCTCTTCTTTCATACCTGGACTCTCCAGCATGACTGGAAAAGAAAAGTGGAAAATAAATTATGGGAACAAAATCCCACGTCACAGGTGAAGGCTTCGGAGCGGGCAGGAGGGGCGGCAGGAAGCAGAAGGCTTCAGGGGTGGGGGCCTGCGGGGGGCCTCCGCAGCGTGCAGTGTGTGTGACCTGCACCCAGATTCACCCTCGAGCCCCCGTGTCCCACCCACCCTGACATACAGACCTCAGTTAAACCGAGACACCTGTCACTTACAGAACCAATTTTTCTTCGCGCTGTGACTATCACTTCTCTTAAGTTTTTGTTTTTTCAGCAAGTCAGTCATCAATGGCAAGCAACTGAAATAGATAGTGAATGTTTACTCTTTAAAACCTTGTCACAGTGAGACACGTTGCCATGAACCCCCCCCCCCCCACACACACATCCTCTCCCTCTTCCCACCATTTCTGTCATTTTCTGAAACCTATCTGGGTGTCCTGTTGTGTGAGTGTCTTTACAGGGTGTGATCCAAAGTGCCGCCCACCAGGAACCAGCAAGGCAGGCTCACAGACACAGGACGGTGTGGCTTCCTTCACGTGAGCCACTGGATCTGGCACCTGAGGCTCCCGCATCTTCCCCAAAGTCAACATGCTCGCGAAAGGTGAGTGCTTTGAATCAGTTCAGGACGTGGAGGCAGCCAGAGCAGCCAAGGAGAAAGGACTTCCAGACAGGGAGGATGGGATAAGTGTATTCAAAGCCAGTGGGAGGATTTTAGGGAGAATTAGTGGCGATTTGTCTTTTACTGTAATACATTTTTAAAAATCTAAACATGTACCATAGTTTCCCACCCTACTATACGCTGTTATTTAATTCAAATCTGCACATACTGAGAACTTCCCGGGTCTCTCCACCAGGCATTAGGAATTTAAGATACAGTCTTTTTCCTTCATATCTAACAACTGAGTGTGTAAATAGAGCACAAAAGCTCCCTGATACAGAAACAAAGCTATGAGCAGAGAGAAATGAGTTTCTCTTTTAACATGTGAATCAGTTCTTAGATCCCCCCCCCCCCCCCGTATTCACATTTTCTTGCTACAAGGATTTTTAGGTTGAAAAGACAATTCCCAAATCAATTTGCATCGTGCTGAAGTCCATTCTTTCTGTTCTCGAGACCTCCTGACACCTAAAGAATAAAAATGACCAGTTCTCTTCTTGCGTTCTGAAAATTGAGTTTCCCCTATTATGAAGCACGCACTAATGAACCCTTATATTTCAGTTACTTTCAAGATGCATAAAACATTGTTTGGAAATTAATGAGGATGCACGAGTTGTTGTAGCTGAGTGAGATAAAGCATCATGGAGTTTCCTGGCTCCTTTTCTGAAGAACTATTGTTCTCAGAGCTGCAGAGTGCTCGCCACGGCCACTATGGGAAGTTCAGGGTGTCTGTTCCTTTGATACAGCGGGCTTGACTGGGGAAAAGCGGACCTGGAAGGTTTTCTCTGAGTTCAAACTCAACTTAAAGCCTTTGTATTTTGAGAGTTTCTTGCATCCGGGGAAGCGGGAGACGCAAGGTTATAAACAAATAAATTACAGAATATTGTCCAAAGGGCAACTATACAACAACTGAGAAATGAAATTTACAGAGAAAAAAGTGACTGATCTGTGTAACATGGAGACAAACATCAGGTGCAGGAACGTGAGACACCAGATCAGCAGAGAGGACACGTGCAGGGATATAGAGGGGAGAGGAAGCCAAAGAGAGCTGGAAGACAGGAAATTTGGTACTGGGGGGGGGGGGCGGTGAGGGCCAGCAGGCGTGGCTGGAGATCTGGCGGAAGCTGGGTCACCACAGCTCTTCCTAACTACTCATTCGGGGAGCTCCTGAGAGCACTGCCATGTTTACTTTATTCTGGATCCACGGACAGCCCAGCAGGGTGCAGGCAAGACTTCCATCAGTGTTTCTGGAATGTTCCAAGAAACTACGATTGTGGGCGAAGGGGAAACCGTGCAAGTGGTGTAATTCCACTAAGAAACATCACTGTGGTGTCAGCCAAGTGATCTGTACACTATTTTTAAAGTACTCAGGTGGTTACATGTGGAGAATGGATTAGAGATGATCGCAGAGGTAGAGGTCCTGGCAGAAACCGAAAGATCCCAAAAGAAGGCTAGAAGCAGCTACGCAACTGAGCTTTCAGGGCTGAATCTGAGCAAAAGGAACGTGTATCTGAGAAGTCTGGACATGGAGAAAATGTTATTTTAGATAATACATTGGCTGCATTTTCAAGTAACACGCTCATAATATTTCCTTCAGCCTCTGGGTATCTTTACACACAAAATATTTCTAAGTTTGAAAGGCCCGTGTGTCTAATCCTTAACCGAGGGACACAGTACACTAAACACTCGGGAAGGGTTTTCAGCTGTTCTGGAATTTCAGGACTACATGCAGAACCTTTTGGATGACGTTCACTGGGAAATCGGGGTAGAGAGATCAGAAGGGACCCTTGGTCTTCTGATTGGAACACTGGGCGAACGGTGATGCCACAGATCAAGGTCTGGAAGACAAGTGGGGTACAGTCTTCCAATCAGCAGTTCTTCCAGGGCTTCCTCAGCCCTTGGTGAGGCCTGGGGTAAGAGCCACAGGGGGCCTAGGAAGGGGGAAACCAGGAAGGGCTGAAACTCTAGCTCCAAAAGCAATGTCTCACTACAGGAAGACGTCAGCAGTGAAGAAAACTGGTTGGGAAAAAAAATTCAGCTGGCACTGAAGGTCTGCCATTCTTATAACCTTGAGATCCTGAGCAAATAATCCTTGAAGAGACTACACCCAGCATTCTCCCCGTGCACCCCAACCTTGGCCTCCCACGGGGCTGTGTGATCTGAGTCACTTACTGTCTCTGGATCTCTGCTCCTCTCATCTCAGGGGACTGAAGGAGGGGACCTTAAGGTGCTGCTACTTTTAAGCATTTAGGAACTCCAGGAATCTTCTGTGTTGGGAAATTAACCTCCTTGTTCCAACTTAAGAGCACAAACAGTGAGGGCCCAGGGGGGTGAGGGTAGAGCCCAAGGGGTGGTGAGAGCCTTGAACTGGTGAAGGTCCCCTGGACTCAAATCGCCTAAGCAAGGAATCCTGAATTGCTCTGAGACCTGACATCTATATTCTTCTTTCTTGTAAATAGAATATTACCTGTTTGTCAAGCAGTGAAATCCTGGGCTTAAAAAGGAAAATCCCAGCCTTACTTTATTTTAGTTGCTTTTAGCAGGGAGATGAGTCCAGAACCTCCACACTTGGCTGCACCCCAGCCTCCTTTTTTCTCTCAACACTGAGTCTTGCTAAGTCTCCGGACTGCCCGGCCTGATTCTAACGTGCAATCCTCCTGCCTCGGCATTCCAGAGTGCGAGGAGGACAGGCCTCACTTCAGAAGTGAGAAGCTCCGGCTGGCTGCTTCTTTGGCTCTTTGTCCTTCCTCCTCTTGGTTAGAAGAATCACCCCGAGCCACGAGACAATGAGCCCAATGCTGAGAGTGCCCGAACCGAGAGCAGCCGTGACCTCGCCACACTGTGAGGTATCGCACAGCCAGGGTGACTTTCTACATGTGGACTCTTCCTTGGAGCAGGAGGGATGGAGAGAGGAAAGGAAGGGGAGAGAAGAAGATGAAAGAAGGGTGATACAGGGAGAGAGAAGAAGAAAGGAGACAACAAGAGGCACAGAAGGAAGAAGAGAAGGGAGGAGAAGGAGGGAAGGAGGGAAGGAAGGAGATCTGTTCTTCCTTCTCACATCACAAGTGGGATTCTGTGCTTACACCATCGAGTCTGTTTTGACAAAAGTGGTGCCTGACCTCCCCCAGAGCAATGGAGAAGCTCAGCAACCTGCAACGTACACTATGCTAGAGAGATAAGGATGCAGTACTTAGCTGTTTACAGAAAAAGGAAGAGGAGGAGAAGAAAGAAACTTGGTTACAGACAGTAAGAAAACTAAATGAAGATGCTCCGGTGCAGAGAGCACAGCTGTAGCCTCACTGCCCAGCACAGAAGAACACAGTGTTCATAGGAATCAAGTAAATGATGAAAAGAAGGAAACAATCTTTCCCACCTAAGAATGATCGAACCTTAGACACCTGATGATCCATCGTTCAATCTCTTGGATGACTGCGCCCCCTTCCCCAGGTCAACTCAACCCATGTGCAGAAATGTCATGAGAAGCTGCTGGTGAGTTTCACTGGTGTGGCCAGGAGGACTCCAGGATCCACACTTCCAGTGTGGACTAAATCCCCCCAGAGGTCTAATAGTGCAGGCAGTCTGAAGAGAGGAGCCAAAATACGCCCTGATAAACATAATTCCCGTGTTATGAAGGCGTAACCTGGAACCTGGGTTACAGGAAAAGAGGGATGGGGAAGAGGTCTTGGGGCTGGTGACCACCAAGGGAAATGCTGCCTTAGCCACCAGCATGCGTTTCCGGCCAGGCGTCTAAGTGTCGTTTTAAGGATGACTTTGTTGCCACAGTTATCACCATTCTAGGGCAAGGATTGGCAAAGAATAACCTGAGAACCAAATGCCATTGTTGGAAATGAAACGCCGTCGGGACATGCCCACTTTCATGCATACGCTGCTCCTGGCTGCGTATGATGGAGTAACGCGGTCAACTTGCCAAGCTCAGCTGAACTGGGTCAGATGGTGCGGTGTGGAGGGCCCGCCTGAGGGCTGTTACCAACAGCATAACAGGAGAACTGGAGGGGAGGACGGTGTGCTGTGGATTTTCCTTGAGGAACTTGTCACACTGGTTTTCCTGATATGAACTCCTCGGCTGCTCTCATCATCGGAGGAGCGCAGGTCCTAGCTGTTGCTGAGGATGATTGTGGTTCTCTTTGGGGGAGTTCTGGACTTTACTTTGAGCACTGCTTCAGGTACAGATGTCCCAGGCTGCTGGCACTGATCCTCCATCCCACTGATGCAGACTTTATAGCTTCTTCCCCTGCAGACTTTTGGGCATATCTGGTGCAGATCCCCGGTGCAGACTTGCCTGAGACATTGTCACAGGCTCTAGGCCTGCAGCTGGAGTACGGCTGGATTTGTGAAGCACACTGCCATGAGCTCTAGGTCTTCAACCAGGTTCGTGGAGGACATTGTCATGGTATCCAGTCTCTCAGCTGGATTCTTTGAGTCTCTATTGCATAGACAGATCTCTTGAACTATACCGCATTTGACATTTTGGGTCAACATTATAAAATAATCCTGTAAATTATGGAGCCTGTATTAAATCCTTTCCCTTGCAAACCCTGACTACAACACTACCCTTGCACCCTAACTGCAGAGATCATATTTGCCTAAAAGTCAGCAACATAGTCGGTTTTTATAGAAAAGTTTGCAGACCTCTGATCTAAAAACTATTTGTCTTTTTTCTCCTTTCTCCATTCCCCCTCTACTGGAGACTGGACCTACAGCCTTCGCCTTGCTCTCTATTCCCAGATCTTTTAAAATTTTTTATCTTGAGGGAAGTTCTTGCTAAGTCACTAAATTACAGAGGCTAGAGTCCAATCTCAGCGCAGTCCTCCTGCCTCAGCCTCCCATATTTGTCTCTGTTGATGCTGTTGCTCTGTTTCGGCTGCCGAACTTCTGAGTTCACTTCTCTGGGATATTCTTGAGCATCTGAGTAGAGCCCATCTCCAGGTATAAAAGCAGACAGGAAAAGAACTCAGTCTACCAGTCACAAGCTCCTGCCCAAGATGTGAGGCCTGACAGCACAATGAACCAGAGACAGCAGAGAATCCACTGTGGCCCTGATGGCAGCTGGGCCAGCCAGAGACACATCAGCACCAGCAGGACATCCAGTGCCCAGTCCTGGAGATGGGCCTCGAGATGGTCACAACCATATCCAGCCACGCGGGGCGGGACATTTGGGCTGCTTCTCTGTCTCATTTATTTCCAGCTCATTTCTGTTTTTCCAACAGCCCCTTAGAATACATCTGTATGCCCAGCAGCAGGTGAAAAAAACTGAGGTTAAACAACTTCTCTGAGTCAACACTGGAACCCTTTTGACAAAAACAGGAATCTTATTCTACTGTGCCAAGCGGGCGCAGACGTCTTTTGATAACACCCTGCTTACTAGGTTCGCTTGTAAATTAAACAAACCGCCACTCTTCAAAGCCGGCAGAAAGTTAAGGGCTCTGCGAACGCTTACCAGCATCGTGTTATTTTTCCTCCTCCTCTATTCGCATCCAGGTGGCTTTATTTTTCATCTGAAAATGTCATCACCACGTCATTAGCAAAGCACTGTTACCTGACCATAGGAAGAAGCATCCCCAGGCCATATGGCTGAGTTTAATCTACATGGTCACGGTGTAATCCCGTTGAAATGGCTTCCCTTTGCAATCAAAACCGAATTTCACACTTTACCAAGATGGGAACAGCTCCTGTCTCCCCCGGAGTAATATAGATCTCCCCAGGCAGCCAAGGCCTATGGAAATGGCTTTCTTCTCCAGTCCCGCAGCAGGTGGGGGGCAGGGCTGGGAGGTCAGCATGAATGGGAAGAGGTTGGAGGAAGTAATCCACCCCATTCACCTCCTCCAGATGGACCGCTGGGGATGGCCAGCCCGTGGCACTCTGGAAACATGCACTAAGAAACATAAGCCACCTTCATGGATCGCTGGCTTGATCTCAGCCACAGTTGTCATTTCTAGAGTTAATTTTCTGGTATATCTCCTCCCAAAGCTGAAAGGAATGACCCCTGCTGACACACTGGCGATCTGTCAGGGCCACCTACGTCATCAAATCCCCAGCTACATCTGTTGTGAGCAAACCTCTGCCCATTTATTCCACACAGCCCATCTTAGACCAGTGGGTGAGAAAAAACAACTGGACGGCACTAGCTAGGTAAGACAGACCCAATAAAAGAATGGGGTGTTGCTTTTAAAAGAAACTTCCCACCTGTAACATTGTCTAAAGTGGTCATTGTCAGGCTGTGTCCAATCTGATACACTATCTCACTGATGAAATTATACCAGATACCTCCTTTCTGGGTACAGTTGGGAACTATGAATCCAAAAGACCATTCAAAGCACATTTGCTCTGTCAAAGTGGTTTAACTTCCCAGAGATCTGTCTCAAGGACAGTTATGGGCATATATAAATGTTTGGCTATAAAATTTTTCATTTATTTGCAAACAGCACAGCATTTAAGAAAGAGGTCCATTTTGTATAAAAAGGCATAAGCACCTGCCTTGTAAGCAGGTGGTCGTGAGTTCAATCCCTGGTACCGATAAAAAAAAAAAAAAATACACAAATCAGTTAAGCTATTACTACTATACATTCTACAAACATTTAAAATTATGGATGAGTAAAGATTCAGAAATGTGTAATGACTAGGTTTTTCAGTTTCCGTCTGACCCCATAAATAAGGGGGACATGAAAGCCTTCTCATCTGTTGTGCTCTCAGGAACCAGCAAAGGATGCGGGAAAATAATTGTTGATTTAATAACTAAGTTAACGTTCTTATTATAACTAGAAAAGTGAAAGCTGTGGGGAAGACATATATATATTCACATATATATAATATGTTCATATAACTACACACTTGTTTCTTCCTAGTTGGCTGTCTTCACTTATATATATATATATGTGACATCACAGATACATTGTCATGTTAGTAAACATAAATCTACATTGTCATCCAAAATTCTGCATGATATGCTGTTATATGAACTTCTAACAATTATTGGGACCCATATTCAATATTCAAGTTTCAAGTTGTTTCGGGTTTTTTAACCTTATGAAAAAGAGAATACAACACATGTTTTCGGGTGCCTGGCTTTGGGAGTGTATCTGATTTTCTTTTCTCTATTAAATATGTAGAATTAGAATTAGCAGGTTCAGGAAGAAATCAGTGTTGTTCCTTGAAATACACTAAGCGCCCACCTGTGTCCCTGTGAGGGACGCAACATTGCTCAGAGCGGGGAGCTGGATGGCCTCGGGGGTCACGTGGCTGCCTCCGCAGGAAGTGCAGGATGAGGAAGGTGACGCACTTCCGGTGTCCCGGACCCTTCCACTTCCTACTTCCGGCTCCGCCGGAAACGGAGACGCTGCGAAAGAAAGAGGAAGCTGCCCTGTGCTGGTCTCCATAGCAGAGCTGCAGTACCTGGTCATTCTGTTTTATCGTGCATTTGTAAGGGCACAGATCCCATCAAAATGTACATGGATCACCGTGGCTGTATCGTTAGGGTCACATTTAAGCACTTTTATGTGACGTGTTTGTGCAGGTGGGGAGAGGCGCTGCTCACGAGGCCAGACTGTGTTTCAAACAAAACAGCATTTGAACATTTTCAGCTAATGCATTTCTATAAAAAGAAATGACCTCAAACAATCCTCAGTCTCTCCAGCCCGCCACGATCTTGCCCAGCAGTTCTAAGGCATGGCATGAGCCAAAGACAGGATCTGTCTTTGGACAGCAAAGAAGTTTGCCCAAAGAAGGACATAGGACAGTAAATAGAGGACAGAGTGAGAATGTGTCACAAGTCACTTCGCTCTCCAGAATCCAGATCCACAAGTAAGAATGAGTGAAAAATAATCACAGAGAAGCTGATCAGGGTTTGCAGAATTACACTCCTGACATTAAAACATGGTAGCTTTTCTTTTTTTCTTCCTGCTTTTTTTTTTTAATTAGTCTTTTGAAATTCGAAACAATTGATGGGGGAAAATCACAAAGAGGTGGTGACTCCAACCCTGGATTTTTGGGAGTTGGAGCAAGCTTGAGTTATCTCACCAGTGAGAAGAATGGCTACTCCCGAAATTTCTGCCAATGGGTTCCTGGAGATTTTCCTTCCAAGGCTAGTGGGAGAGAGCAGATATGTAAGCCACTCTGGAATATGAAGAGAGTGAAGTTCTAGAAGCCGAGCAGAGTGGCTGGATTCTATCTCCCACTGCTAATTCCCCGTGGCAAAGCAGTCACTTCACAGGCCTTAAATTTCTTTTCCATAAAAAGGGCCGATAATTTCCTACATGCTCCACTAGGCAGAAGTAACAGCCCATCATCCTGCCCTTAGCAGAGGACAGCTGGTCTTTTGGAGGTCCCAAACCCTCCACATTGCTGGAGAGCCCTCTAAGACGCACACAGCTCACCTCTCAGCACCCCAAAAGTGTGGACCCTGCGGAGCAGTAGCACACACGGTCCTGGATGACAGCACAGCATTTCCGCTTCATAGATGGGCTTGCGTACGTGGAATATAATTTCTTTACACACAAAACTGAAGGATTCCTTGCTATTTCTTTTCCACTGAGTAGATGCTACACTCGGCCAGGCTAAGCTGTCTTACACAGCTATCTTCGTGCATGTTTGCCTCTCACCTGGCAGGTGGCTCACTATTTCTTCTTATGTAGTGCAAGAGACAAAGGTTCAACTCCCTGGAGTGCTTGAGAGTGCACCAAGAATCCCAGTCCTATCTCTAAGCTGCAAACTGAGTGTCTTCCAGCACTAAACAGCCAAAGACAAACTGAAGAACCTCATTTCTAAGGAGTCCCTCTCTTCCGGCCTTCAATACTTTCTTCTTTTCATAAGTGTACAGATGTCCAGTGTGTACCAGGTCCTGTTAGAAAAGGGACAGGAGCCGTATTAAGGCAACAGCCAAGGCAAAGAACACGCTGCCTTTGGCCCAGGCTTTCAGAAGGAAGCGAGCGTGCAGTTGACCTCTGGATCTCACTGGGGAAACCGAGGGCTGCCTTATCGGGCAGGGCAGGGAATTTGGAGTCAGGCAAACCCAAGTTCAAATTTTGCCTCTGCCACTACCAAGCGGCCATGTAAGCAGGGACCAGTCAGCCCCGCTGGAGTCTTGCTCTCTTTAAGGTAAATACAGTAACATCATCTTAGAGGATTGTTGTAATTGTCACAAATTGGCCCTTGAACAACAGTCCTTATGCAGCATGTGAGGATAGGTCGTAGATCTGTCCATCTGTCTGTCTGCAGGGTCATCTCCCAGGCAGCCCCTGCCCTGGCTTCAGCAGCAGAAGCTGGAGCATCATCAAGCATCAGGAACTGCATGGAGGCTGAGGCGTGTCCCTCTCCTTTGCTTGCAAATCTCTGCTCCTGTGGCTGGCCAGGCTTCATGGGTGGAGGGTCAATTCGCCATGGCCGTTTGTATCTGCAGCGGGCCTGACAGGCCGGGAGAGGAAGGCGTTAATGTTTTCTGACAGGCGACCCCTAATTGTGGGAGCTTTTCTTCTGGGCCTCTCTGTGAAATTCTGACTTAGGCGAGCAGCATAACAAAGTGGTCTGGCATTGAGTGAGACTGCGGTACACTGGGCCGGGGGCCTGAGGGAGGGGGCGGACGCCCGGCATTATTCATGAAGACTTTCAGCTGTTTTTGTCTTTTAACTAACCTTTGAGTTTGATCAGAGGGCTGGCCGGCCTCCCTTTTGCCAAAGGCTCTGCTGGCACCTGGACAATGGAGACAGACTGTTTTCCTAGTAAAGAGAGATGGGGGTGGCTGGGCTGAGCTGCTGGGGTGGGGGCACAGCCACGCTGCCCCTGTCTTGGTTCTCGGGACAGGGATGGGGTGGCTCCCCCAGCGCAAGCTGCCACCCACCACCCACCACCCTGGGACGGCGCTCCCTGGCCTCAACAACTTCATCCCACTGAGGCGGTGGGCGGTGGGCTGATCCCAGGTGCAGAAGCTCTCTTGGTCCCTCCTCCCTCCCTCCTAAGGCTCAGCGATGGCAAAGGCTCCAATCTGGATGATTCTGCTTTTCTTTCTTTCTTTCTTTCTTTCTTTCTGTTTTTCACTGGGTGTACGCAATGAGGCAAAAGCAGAGGGCGGATGGATGAAGAGAGAAGGGAAAAAAGGAAGACAGAAATTTAGAAAAAGAAAGGACAGTCTGAGAAAGGGGGTCTTGAAAACAGGCGAGGCGGTGGAAGCTCTGGGACCCCAAGGCTGTGGGCACGGGACTGGACGGCGAGGCCCGGGGTCCAGGGGCGCGGGGTGCAGTCCGGGAGGGGAGCTCTCCTCGCTTTGGGCAGGTGCAGAGCTTTGTCCCAGGTCCACTTCCTGGCCCCACCGCCCAGACCCAGGGCCCGCCCTCTGCATCGTGCTCTGCAGAAAGCGCTCCCCGCGGGGAGTGTGGCTCCCCCTCCCCGCCTCGTCCCCAAAGTAGCCCCGGTGGCCCGCGCGTCAAAGGCGGCTTTGTGCGCAGCGCGCGCGGAGGGCCCGGGCCAGCTCCTGCCTCTCCCGTCCTCCGCCTCTGCGCTCTCCGCGCCCTCCGCGCCCTCCTCGCCGCTCTCCGGGTCTCCTCCTCCTCCTCCCCGTTCCTTCCCGTCCCGCCCACCTGTCCAGGACGCGTCCTCCTCCCTCTCCCTTCCTTGCTCCCCTCCTCCCCTCTCCCTAGCTCCTCTTATTTTCCCCTCCCTCCCTCCGCTCTTTCCCCCACCTCCACCTCCTACCTGTCGCCGCTTCTCTCCCATCCCCTCTCCACCCGCTGCCCCCACCAGGTGGCCCCGGTCCCCGGCGCGCAGCTGACAGCGGACGCGCGCCCGGAGCCAATCAGCGCCCGCAGGCGCCGCCGCTGAATGAATCATTAAGCCCGACACGCGCTCGGGCCCGCGCTCCGCGCCGCGCGCTCCCTGCCATTAACCTACACACCCTCCTTTGTAACGACCTAATCTTGCATGCAAAGGCAGGAGGGATAGAACTTCTGCAACCTGCGCTCACGCTCGGCCGGTCGCTTCGCAGCTGGAAAGGGTCGTGAAGTGTCAAGGAATCCTCTCCCGCCCCTACCTTAGACTCCTGGAAACTTGGAGGTTCTGGGGGGTGGGAAATCCCCAGACAACCTTTCTTGGATCAGGGTGAAGTTCAGAGACTTCGCCACTAGGAAATGAAAGAGAGATGGGGTGGTTCCCGTTTGGTACACCAGAGAAGCATCCGTGGCGGTAAAAATAATAATAATAAAGTTGCAATCAAACCTGCTTCTTGGAGAGCTCTCTGTAGAAAAATCCCTTTTAGACGCCTGTAAGTGGTGGAGGGAATGAGGGGGCTAGAGGAGCCCTCAGCCCACCAGCAGCAAATCTTTGTTTATTCCAGCACCAAAGCTCAGGAGGAGGCTGTGTACACAGCACACACACCCACAGCCCAGAGGCTGCCATTTTCCACTCAGGAGGTGATCGATGCCCAAGAGCGTGTTCCTAGCTTTATTTTCCAGTAGAGAAACCTGATAGTAACTCCTTTTGCAAACTTGTGGGTACAGTACAAAAAGATGGGTGACTTTTCCAGAGTTAGATGGTGCAGACTTAGGCTCACCCTCAACCCAGGAAGGCTGCTGTCAGAGCCTCCAAAAATCTGACCTGGGAAGAGCCCATCCCTAAGGCTCCGTGAAGCAGGCAGGGTCCGCAGGAGCCAAGGCCGCTTACTGAAAGGGTAAATAGAAGCATCTAATGGACAGACCTGGAGGCGGGACTGAGGCAACCCCTGCAGGGCAGCAGCAGACTTTAAACAAGGGGACCCTTAGCACCTCTGAGCTGCAAGGGCCGAAGGGAGGCAGGTGTCCTTGGATCTCAGTGACCACTGTTCCCATGGAGGAGAAGCATCTTTGCTAGCTGTGACCTGCAGACCTAGCAGAGGAGCCACCGCCAAAGCACCTGAGTCCAGAGGAAGCAGAGTTTCCAAGCCAGCCCTCCTCCCTCACTGCCAAGTCCTGAGGCCCCCACTCCCTTGCCCAACCCAACAGGAAGCCAGGAAAAAGCAGCCCTAGCCAAGGTGTCCAGGAAGTCCTGCCTCCTGAGGCTGGAGAAGAGCAGGGCTGGAAGGGGGACCGGAAGGGTCAGGGACACAGCTTCCCAAGGCCCAGAGGAGGGGTCAGCTCAGTTCCTCCAAACCCCTGTCTTCCAGGCAATGGGGGTGGAGCACTGAGCTGACAGGTTAAGGTCCTTGTCCTCCTGGGGTTCACCCTCTAATAGGGGACAACTGCCACAGTCATACCTGTCTTTTTTAAAAAGCAAAGGCACTGTGTTTCAGTCCATGCCAGGAAGGACAACCAGGCTGCGGACAGAGAGGGGCTTTGGCTGGTGAAGAGCTGCTGGGCAGGGCCCTTAGGGTGAGCCGAGTCTTACAGAGGCCGCATTTGAGGAGGGCAATCTAGACTTTCTCAGAAAGTCTACCTGGGGTCTGCCTTGACCTCAGGATTTCATTGAGAGCCAGCTGGATTAGAATGGAGTCTGGGCTGTGATTTTAGATGCACGTAAGCAGTTCCCACAGAAAAAAAGGGGAGACAGGACTGGAAGAAGGACCACCCCAACAGGCACCCACGTTTGCATGCATCTGGTAATTTCATTCTCCCTTAATCTTGTTTCATCAGACTGCATGCCCCCGCCCAGCTGGGGCGTTCGGTTTATGTTTTAACACCCTGCAAGAGCACCAGGGTGGACAGACATATTCTAGCCCCCTCCCTGCATCTTAGGCCCACTGCTAAAACTCTAAGCAAATAGCAGGGTGGTTTCTTTCCTCTCCTTTGGTGGAGCCGCCCACTGTGAACTCCAGGCAGATTTTTCTCCCTCTTAACTCCAGATTTTAGAAGTAAAAAATAAAATAAAATAAGCCAAAAAAAAAAAAAACCCATAGAAGCAAATAATAACAACAACAACAAAAATCTGTGCCAGGGAGGTGAAATGTGTGCCCAGGAGTTTTATCCCAGCCTCTAAGACACAAGCATTCAACAGCCTGCAGGGCTCGGTTTCTTTTTGGACGCCACTCTCCTGTCCTTCTCCTGGCTTTCAGGGTGCCTGCAGCCTTCACTTGGGGGTCTCCAGGCCAGCTTTGAATAGGCAGCTATCTCAGCGGGTAAAGTCAGCCGCAGGAGTTTTCCTCCCCTACCCCCTGCGCCCCTTAGCGAATGGGGCCGGGCGGGAGCAGAGGCCTGGAGCGCGCTGACAGCCCAGGGCCCGGCCTCCGCGCAGCCAATGGGCAGCGGTGATTTATGCGGCTCGCTCCGCCGGCTGAATGCGGCTTGTCAGCCTCGCAGTGAAGGGCTTCCCGGCCGCACAAGCCCCGGCTTTGTGTTGCTTAGCGATTAGAGCAGATGTAATGAGATTTTGCCCAATCCCGGTATTGTCCTTCCCTAGCTCAGGCAAAATCGTGTGTGTGTGTGTGTGTGTGTGTGTGTGTGTGTGTGTGTGTGTGTGCCTGTGTGTTTCTGTGAATTTTTTCAAGTTTGCCTTTGCATTGTGGCAAACAGCGGCTAACTTTGCCTCGAGTTGAAGGAGGCTGGGTATTTTCCATGGCCAAGTGTTACCCACCTGTCCTGACCCACAGGAGCGGGAAAATCCCCTTTTGTGGGGTTAGGTTCACAGTCAGAAGCCACTGGCTACACTTGCTTTGCACACCTTATCTGGAAACTGCAAAGGAGTTAAATGAAATGCAAGAGAAATGGAGGTGGGGGGTCGCTGTGGTCCTCGAATAAAATAAAACAGAGCCTGCATCGCTGAAGCCTCACTTCCCTGGAGGAAGCTCTAAATTGGCCCACTGCTGGCAGAAAGTCCGATTATTTATGGCGATGAGGAATTCACTGATGTTTTTCTCCCCTTAATTATGCTCATCTCTTTGAAAGGGACCAAAGCCCTAACGCATTCTATAGAGGGTCATTTAGCAAAATGACATCAGGCGCTGTGTCCTGCTCAGCGCATAAGGGCTTTAAAAATGGTTACTCTGTGCTACTAAACGGTATAGATGTACCAACACAGACTGGATTTTTAACTCTGGAAGACGTGCCCGCTCCTCACTCTTTGTTGGATTTTGTAAGATGCGATTTTTTTTTTTTTTTTTTTTTTTGCGCTGGGCTTTCCGCTTGGCTGGAGACACGCACGCTGAATGGCCAAGTGATGCCGGCGGCCAGCGAGGAGGCGGCAGAGCCCCAGTAGGATTCTAATCACGTTCTTGCCAACTGACAAGGAGCAAGCCAGCCAAAAACCCACCAATTTCTTTTTGAATCTTGGTAATTGGGTACTTTTACACGCAGCTCACGCTATTGGGACAGAGTCATGGGCTGACATCGGCCAGTGTCTCAAGGCGACCATACAGTTCTAAGCGCCTATATTTATTTAAATCTAACTCCTTCTGCCAGGAGGAATTCGGATCACCCATGCCTTTTACTTAAAAGCAATGCGGGAGCGTGTGCACTGGGGGAAAGGGCAGGGAAGATGTGTGCCGGGGAGAGGCAGAGGCAGACAGCCCGCTCCAGCCTGCTCCTGCGGGGGGACCTGCCCATCCCCAACCTTCAGCCTCTGCCCTTCTCCCGACGCCCCCTTGACCGATGGCTCTTCAGCTCTCCCTGGATCTCAGAGTCTCAGAATGGGGGTGAGGGTCAGAAGGTCGGGTGCAGGGTCTTCTTTTCCCAGTTCACGTTTTGGAGATTTCCAAATGTATTCAAGGAGGGTGCAGCCACTGGTCATTGTGTATTCTCTTGGGGGGTGCATTTGCAGGCCCCCCAAAGAGAGACGAAGTACTATTTTCCTCCACCTCCAGGACACAGCGGCCTGGGGAAGGCCTGGAGAGCGCTTACCCTGTCTCCCATCCTGCATGCTTCTCCACATACTTCTCTCCCACCCACCCCTTCCCCCTGGCATCTTGATGATAACTTCGCCAAGGGCAACCTTGGCTGTCAGAGAAAGTTTAGAAGCAGCTGATTACTGTCACTTTTTTTTTAAAAAAAGGAAAAAAGTTTTATTATGAAACTAGTTTGTATAAAACAGGGTTATACACATTTTTGTAAGTTTGTCATCAAACAGTAAGAAAAAAAAAGGCAGTGGTAGAAATTTCCAAAAGGCAGCCGATCAAAACCACCTGGCTGCCACTTTTCGTTTGGACAGTAGCTGGATAAACTTTGTTCTTCGTGAACGGGATTTAATAACATCATTAATACATTAACAACATTTCTATAAAGTAAGACACATCGGTGCTGCAGGGCATCGGGCGGCTTTCTGAGCTCACCTATGAGGAGAGTTCTTTACAAAAACCACAGAGGGGACTGGCAGCTGTCAGGTGAACTACACGGCTAAATATGCAGAGGTAATAGCATTACATGTTAAAGTATCAAGATATACACATTTTAAACCATTTGTACAAAACTTCTATAAATTTTTTTTCTCTCTCTCTTTCTTTCTTATGTACAAAAATATCTTAATATATCCCCAAACTGGTTAGGATAGATACAAATAGATTTTTCTTATAATAAAAAAATTCACAAAAGATTGGAAGCATCCTATGACGACAACAGTAGAAAAGACAGTGGCATAGGAGGGGTGGGAGGCGGGGAGGGGTTTCAGGGGACTGAGTTTCACTGCAGACCGAGGCCGGCCGGGTCACTGTGATGAATAGAGGACCACCCGTTTCCAGAGAGCCGAGCCCTGCGCTCGCTTGGAGAGAGGGCTGGGGTGAAGGCACCGAGCCGGCGGGCCCAGCCCTGCCTGGTGGCGGTGGGTGGGCGTTCTGAGGAGCGCGGGCTGCTCCCACCGCGGAGGCCACAGCCTTGGCCAGCGAGCCACTTGGGGCTTAGCCTCGGGTGCCAGTGGCTTCTTATCCCAGCGAAAGCTTGCATTGCAAGCCACTACTCTGAGCGCATCCTTCTTTTCTGAGCGCCTCGCAGGCATGTGTGGCTGAGTGGGCCAACGTTGGGGTCGGTGGCCTGTTTTTGTTTGGTTTTGTGTATGTGTTTTCTTCCTTTATTGATTTATTGTTTTGCTCCCTCCCAACGTCGCCCACGAGAAAAGCACTAGAGATGCGGATTGTGCTGCAGTTCACCCTGTAAGATAAACAGAACGGAGAGGTTAGTGTGGGCCTGAACGCGGAGGGTCCGGGAGAGGACAGGACCTTCCGGGAGAGCAACGTGACGGCTGGAGCACCTCCACGACAAGTCCCCGCACGCGGCAGCCAGCGCCTCCGCACGCAGCTGGGCCCTACCCCGCCCTCCTTGGAGACCTCGGCAAAGCCACTTTGAGATGCCAGTGCCGGAACACACACTGGCTTTGGCACTGGCAAACCTTAACGAAGTCTTTTTCTAAAAAGGAACCTCCATCTCCCTGGAGACTGCCCCTCTCCCCGCCAGGGGCACTCAAAAGGAGGAAAAAGCAGCAAGAGAGGAAGACCTCCCCTCCCCTCCCCGCGCACCCCCCGGGGCCACGTACCTGCTTCCAAAGTCCATTCGCCCCGGAGCCCGAGCGGGCCGAGCCCCTCAGAACCAGTTGGTGAAATCCAGCAGCTCCTGCTCCTCGGGGCTAAGCGGATCGTAAGAGCCCTCGTCGGACGAGTAGGACGAGACCGGGGAGCCGGCCATGGAGTTCATGTCGTTGGAGTAGTTGGGAGAGATGGTGGGCGACAGGACGCCCGCCTGGAAGGCGGCGCTTACCGCGTCATGCTCGTCCAGCAGCTGCTGCAGCGCGCGGATGTACTCGACCGCGGAGCGCAGCGTCTCCACCTTGCTCATCTTCTTGTTGGCGGCGCCATTGGGGACGTGCTCCCGCAGCGTGGCGAAGCCCAGGTTCACCAGCTTGACGCGGTTGCGCTCGCGCTCGTTGCGGCGCGCCACGGCGGCCGGCTGCTGCTGCGGCAGGCTGTAGCCGAAACCGCTGAAGTTGAGCCGGCGTTTGCAGCGCATCAGCTCGGGCGAGGACGAGCGCTGCCGCTTGACTTGCTTGGGCGCCGACTTGTGACCGCCCCCTGAGGGCTGGCCATCGGCCGCCGGGCTCAGCGGCGCGGGCTGCGCGCTCTGGGCGGCGGCGGCGGCTGCCGAGGCGAAGAAGCAGGCTGCAGGCGGCAGGAAGGGCTGCGGCTGGGGCTGCGCGCCGGCGCCAGCGCCCTCCATCTGGGCCGAGCTCTCCATGCGCGCACGGCAGCGGGGCGCGCGCGGGGGACGAGGGCTGGACTCGGGGGCGCGATCGCAGAGGGAAGGGAGGAAGGGAGGAAGGAAGGAAGGAAGGGGAGAGGTGGAGAAGGAGCCTCGGGAGAAGTTTTTTAAAAATGCCAAATCCCCGGGAGACTTCTTGGAGTGGGAGCGGAGCAGGTGCCAACGCGCGTCCTCCGCCCTCTGCGCCGCCGCCTCCTCCTCCCGCCCCTCCGCCCTCCGCGGTTGGCTTCGGAGCCTCGCGTGGCGCTCGCGTGTGCGGCTGCCGCTCGCGCCTTCTTGGAATTTAAAAAAAAAAATAAGAGGCGGAAGAAGCTGCAAAAGTCAGCGGCGGCGAGCGCGCCCTGCAGAGTCTCCGCGGCCCCGGCCCTGGCTCTCCTGCGCCTCGGTCTCTCCGGCCGCGGCCCGGCGGTGTTTATTATTTTGTGAACCCCCTTTCTTTCTCAGGCCCTCCTTTCGCTCGCCCTCCCCGACTGGCTCCCTGTCGGGGCGCCTTCCACGTTCCCTGGCCAGAAGTGAGAGTGTGGGGCGCCGGAGTGCGGCCGCCTTTTCAACGGGACACCCAGCCCCACGCGCAGCCCTGGCCCCGCCCCGCCCCCCGCTCCCCGCTGCTGCCGCGAGCGCCGGCGTCCGCTCCCCGCCTCCCCCCGCCCCCCAAGTCCCCTCCGCCTCCTCCCGCCCCCGCGGTCCCCGCGCCCGCTCAGTGCAAACTCCATTCAGCCGGGTTTGTTGTCGCAGTGCGTGCGCCTGGCGCGTGCCGGCTCCCGGCTGAATAAACAGGCGGCGCGCTCGGGGCGGGCTGCGGCCGGGGGTGGCTCCGGGAAGGGGGTGCTGGCCTCGCAGGAGGGGTGGACGGCCCAGATAATTGGGGTGTGTGGCTGGAAATTTGGGGGAAAAGTTTAGAGCAAAATGTGGGGGAGGTTTGGAAAGAAAGAGTGGCCCGGGTCCCGGGGGAGCAGTGTGGAGGAGAAGGGGGCTGGGTCTCTATTTTGTTGTTGTTTTCTTCTGCCCGCTTTTTTTTTTCTGCCCGCTTTTATTATTCTGGGGTTCCTGAGAGGTGACGAACCTAATTTATGATTGAAGTTTAGGAAAAGGAGAAAGGGAACTCGGCTCGGACAGTGGGAAAAGTGTGGAGCGCGTGAAGACTGAGTTCTAGTCCCGGGGGTCCTCTGGCCACCCCCGTGGTTCGAGGTCATTGTTAGCTTCTCTGTGCCTCCGTTTCCTCGTCTGTACCCAACTCCCGTGGTATTGAATGTTCTCTGCTGCCTCACCCAGCTCTAAAAATCCGGATTGCGCCCCCGCGCTGAGCCAGCGTGGAACGCGCGAGGGGGGCGTGGAGAGGTGGGTGTGCTGCGCGCCCCGGAGGCCCCCGCCCTCCCCGGGAGACCGCGGGCTCCCTACTGCAGCATCCCCGCAGCCGCCCCCTCCATGAGTAATTTCCGGGCTGCCTGGGGGCGCCTGATGAGGGCCGGGCTCTGTGCTCCCCCAATAGGAAAAGAAAGCTGGGGGCTGCGATGGATGGAGAGAGCTTCCTGGGTTGGTCCCCCTCGCCCGGCCGCCTGGCGCAGCCTCCATCTCGCCCCAGGCGTGTGCCCGGCGGGACGGTGGCAGGCGACTGGGAGCCGAGCCCGGCAGCCGCCGTGTGCTGGCGCCGCCAGGGAAGGGGTGGCGCCTGCCCGGGCGCCTACGCTGGGCCCCCGGCCTTGGCGCTTTTCAGGCAGGACCCTGTCCAGCTTTGGATCGCTTAGGGACACGGCGGGCGCTGCGGGCAAAGCGACTGAATCAGCGCCCTGGTGAGGAGCTGGTCAGTGCCCGGGATAGGGCCAGAACAAGGAAGAGCCCTACCTGCTTCTAACTAAACTTCCCTTTGTGGAAAGGGGTCTTTCTGAAGGGTCCCTGAGGGTGACCCAGGAACCACCCTCACGCGGCCTGTTTGAAGCAGTCTCAAAGCCTCAGTGGTCATGGTGAGCCTCGAGGAGGCGGAATATCACGCGTGAGGGAATCGCAGCTCTTTTGTGCCTCAGTTTCCTCTTTGTAGAGGACTAGGTCTGGGAAGCACGGGACCTAATTCTACCAGCAGAGGTCAGTTCTGCAAACCTCTGGACCCAAAGGCCCTCTGGGCCCTAAATTTACACAAAGGATGAGCCCAGTCCAGTAAAGGAACTGAGGGGTTTCCAAAGTCACCCTTGTCTTCTCAGAGGTATACAGAGTGACCAAACCTCCAGAGACACACACCTGCAGCCTGGACCTCAAGAGCTTTCCTTGGGCCTCAGCCACCTGCCTGATGGAACAGGCTCCTTCAGGAACTCTCACGCCCTCCTGCCTCCCTGGAAAGACTGGGGGCCCCTGTGGGGAACAGTTTGGGGGGCCGGAGTGTGGGTGACATTTGTTTCTCTGAGTCCCTTTTTTCTTCTGGACTTGGGTCATGCAAGAGCCCTGGCTCCCTTCTAGCTTCAAATCCATTATTCACCACGCTGCGAAGGGCTGGAGACCCTCACTGAAAACTATAAGGTCAGGAGCTCTGGTCCTCTACCTGCCTCTGTTTCCTTATCTGCACAGGCGGAGCCTCCAGAAACTAATTTCAAAAACCATACTTAGAAGTGCAGGACATTTGCTGATGGCCAGGAAGACAGCTGGCCTCTGAGTCCACACTAAAACACTGATGAACAGAAACACACCATGGGGTCCAAACGGGAGCCCGTAGTCCAGCCTGGCTTGCCAGCCTTGTGCTTAGCCTCAGTCCAGGAGGATGACAGTGGGAATAATGACCCTGCCACCCAAAGCCTCCAGAACCGCTCCCTCACTGCCGGTCCAGCCCACTTCCATCTGGCCGGCTTCACACTGAGTCTGCTTCCTCACAAGGTTTGCAAAACGTCTTGCTTTTTCCCGTCCAGCAGCCCAGAAGGTGCAACCTAACAGTTCCTCTCCCCTTTCCAAGGCACTGATGTCTCTATTCTTCCTCAGGGGTGTGCATCTCTGCCCTTGGGAATTGTGCACCCCCAAGGGGTGGCGCCAGGTGTTTCTGCTTCTGAGAAGAGAAAGCAAATTTCAGTTTGGAGCAAAGAACTGAGGCTCAAGAACCAAACTCTGAATCCTGCTTCTGACACTGAGGCCTGGATTGTGACCCAGGGCTGCCCTCCTTCGGAGAGAGAGGTCCTGTGCTGTGCTAGGCCCAGGGAAGTCAGGTCCCTCAAGCATGGGGCATGTTGCACTGAGTTTCCTTGCCTGCATCAGGCCACACCTACAGCACTTGACTGCCTGGGCTGTGAGCTTTCGGGTGGCACGCGTGGGACCGGGTAGGAAGTCGTGCTCAAAGCCCACCCGGGAAAGGTTTTGTGGGAGGGTATTCTGGGCAGATTTTGTCACTACCACTAAATAACCGAGTTAGTTTGTTTATAAGTCCATCTTGGCTTTTGCTTTGGGAAGTTTCAGTCCATGCTCCCTTGGCTCTGTGGTTTGGGACATGTGGCAAAGCCGTGCATCATGGCAAAGGTGTGTGGGGAGCAGGACGGCTCCCCTGTGCCCCAAGAGGCAGGGGCTGGACTTCCACGGCTCTCTTCATGTCCACATCCCCAGTGAACCAAGGACAGCCCACCAGCACTGGCCTGGGGACACAGACTTAAACACAGGAGTCCTGGGGCGATATTGAAGATCCAAACTGTATCAGAAGGGGAAGCTCTGCTCTAGGCTGTGACAATCACTGCACGCAGCCCGCCTTCCTCTCGAGGCACCCAGTGGTAAATATTCCCTCTAGTTTTGAAGAATGAATGGCGATGATCCGGTTAAATCAAGGTGGCGGAGAGAGGGAGCACACTTCTGTAACCAGGACAGCAGGACCAAGCGGAATGCAGACATGCTCCGTGCCCCTCACGTGAAAAGTGGCCGGACTCAGCCACTGGCCCGGACTTCCAGGTCAGCACCCTGTAGCTGCCCTGTGCCTTAGTTCCTGGCCCTGACCAAGTCCCCCTTTTGGTGTCACTCAGGGAGAGGGGACCCGTTTTCTTTCTCTTCAGTAGAGGACTTCATCTCTGTGCATCTGGACCACTCCGTTGTGGGAACTTCAGGGGCTCAGTCATACTTGTGCCTCAGGGTCTAGTCGGGAACATGGCTTCCAGAGGGGTCCACTTGGGTCTGCCACCCCAAAGACCCGAGACCCTAGCGCCTTAAATCTCTCCTGCTTCACTAAATTTCCACTCACAGCCCAAAGCCAGATCAGCACCACCTTAGGTGGCATGCCATCACCCTGCTCCCCAAGTGTGTGACCTCCACCTGTGGGAATCAAGCAGCTCTCACCTCTGAGGAAAATGTCCCCATGCTTTTTATGTGGGGAAAGGGGTGGACAGTGGACGTGAAGCTAGGTTTCTCAGAAATGAGCCATTCTGTGTAGTTCTATCCAGAATAGACAGGTAACAGTCAGAGTGCCTACAGGCCCTTGGGTTCTGGGTTCAGTTGCAAGGTTTTTTGTGCCATTCAGGGTTGGGGGGTGGCCTGAGTCACAGAAACCTCGGATGCTTTGGGGAAAGCGCATGAACATGGAACTGTTACACATGTACAACAGGCACAGGCTGCTCTGGTGGCCGTCACATGGGGCCTCTGTCCAGTGGGGTGTGCAGCCAGGAACCATCCTTGAGCACACGTCCATGGCAGTACAGGGTGCTGTCTCCTGTCCCTAGCGTACCCTTCCCTCTCAGGGTGCTCTCAGGAGAGTCCACTGCCCGGTGAGTCGGGCTCCCCAGCCCAGGGAGGAGGGTGGGCTCCAGGACACAGCGGCACCACTGGCAGCACACTGGGCTGGCCAGCCCACTCGGGCCCTGCAGCCAGGCCTGCACCTGCACTGTGGGACCCAGACGCCTGAGGACCCCATTCACGTTTTTCAATATGCCTTGAAAAGAAAAAACTTAGCCTAATGAAACAAAAACAGCACCAACTATATTTTATTGTGGCTTTTTGGTCAGAGAGGAAAGGTTTGGGCGGGGGGAGCGGGGAGAAGGGAGGAATTTAAAGTCTCCCTCCCAAGCCCTTTTGAAGTTCTCCAAATAAGGAGAAGTAATGCTAAGTCTTTATTATTTTTTTCAAAAGCCCCATTTACATTATGATAAAATACCTTCCTTGGAGAGGCATAAAGAAAGTCGTTAATCTATATAGCTCTCCAAAGACTCACTGCGTTCTGAACTTTTGTAGGATTTGTTACAGTCTGTTTTGTTACAGTAGGCCAGCGGGGCTGTCCAGGCGCATGGCTGCCCTTCCCTGCCTGCCCCCGCCTCCTTGGAGGAGGAAAATAAAGTAAAGGTCTTTCACGGTAAACAAAACCAGCTGATTCTTCACAGAGAACCCTGAATAGCTGCAGAAGAAGAAGAAGAAAAAAAACTTACAATAAATGATGCGTTTTTTTCTCCCGGGGAATAGTATTCAAGGGTCAGGGCAGCATTCAAACAGAGGTTCTTTTTTTTTTTTTTTCTCAGCAAGAGAGTTTAGAAAAGGAGCGTGGGGTCCATTCACAGCGTCCCCCTTTACAATCACACGGCTATATGAAACCTATCTTCCGTGCCTTGTCAGAGTGTTTCTGGAGACCAATTAGTGCTTTGTTGC